AAGAGTGAAGGCAGTGGTGGTTACCATGACAAATCAACCTTAGTTTTCGTTTTTATTTCATTCCTCCCCCACGGGGCAGTATGATCTCATGATATGCCTTGTCATGCTACAACAGGCCACGTCCATGTCACTTGATGAAGTTTCTGCAGCTGTTTCTGTCTTGCTTGGTTTTGCACCACCTGCTATGCTTCCTGCACCTTCTTCTGCAAAGGTTATTTAACTTTTGTGGTTCAGCTAGCCTTTGTGTGCATCGTGCTACTATCTAAGCTATGCAACCTTTGTCTATCTTGATTTTCAGTTAAACAAGCTGCTACTCCCAAACCCATTTGACAGGCCTCGTTCTGTTTTCTTGATGCAACTTGATGGATCCCATGGTATGTTAATTTGCTGGGAATGATTTTATCATAATTATTCATGCATTTTGATGTAGCCACTAATGTTATCTCTCTTGATCGTATATCAGACTATGTTGATTGCTTCATATCTGATGCCGGCAGTATTTACAAAACCAAGATTGATGGTGCAAAAAGTGCTGCTATAGAGCTTACAGGTCTGACTAATTCCTGAGCATGTCCCTGCTTTTGGAACTTGGATGCCCCTACTTCTGTATCTGCCTTGTTGACACATAAGTATCATTGATCATGTACCTTGCAGATAAGGATGAATTGATTGTCATTCGTTCGGATGAATCTTCTGGATTAGATGTTCTTGATAACGAACTCGCCAACTTGGTAAGTACTAGCTAGTTGCCCATGCATTGCAACGGGGGCATACATATTCTAGTGGTTCAATACCAATCATGTTCGACATAAATCCTACACCTATCATATTCTAGCTTTTGCTAAGATTTGATTTGATTTGAGTATGGGTATGGGAAGGAAAGTTTTGATTCAGTTGAGGTTTGAGGTTTTGGTAAGATTTGATTTGGTTTGGGTATGGGTAGGGGAAGGCAAGGAAACTTTTGATTTAGTTGAGGTTTTGGTAAGATTTGATTGAGTTAATGTAGGAGATGGAGGAGAGGAGATCGAGGGTAGGGGGAGTTGGACGTACATACGCACAATCCCCAACTCCCCTTAAATAGTACAGATGTACTACTTCGTTAGGAGGAAACTAGTACTCCCTCCTTCCTGATATGTTAGGCGTATTAGGAACTGCATGCAATTCCATAATGTAAGGCGCACAGTTGCGGCGTCGCTAACGATAGCTAGTTTTCAGGAAATAAGAAAAAAAATACGTCGACGACCCTCTCTTGCGGTTAGTTCCCACAAGCACCCACTCGTCTCCCTCTCCTTCAAATTTTTTTCCCCATGAATGACCCACCTCACTTGTCTCTCCCGCGCAATTTTCTCCTGCGTGAAGAACGCCCAACACACCATTTCTCCTTCCGATCTTTCCCACCTCGCACAGACATCAATCCATGGCCAGGCCCCTCAACGGCGGCGGTGTTGGCGACGAGGCTCCCGCGGCAAAGGAGTTGCTGCCCATCTTGCCGCCGACGATGGCATTGCTGTGCAGCTTGCCACCGGCGAGGCTGGTCTCGTGCGCGGCCGTCCCAGTACGATGGGAACAGGCAACCATGACGCGGCCGGCTGGAAGCTAGCCCGACCAGCTGGACGACATGGAGGTTGGACGTCGACGGGGAAGACAATTCTGCACCTGAATTACATGCATCATTTAAACACACTGTAAAACAACAATCAAAAAGTGATGTATGCTTGAAAGAAACGTGGCTGCACTCAAGCCTCAAATGAAAAGAATAGGTTTCGTACACTTATTCGGACCTGCGCCACCTCCTTCGCCGTTGCCATGTTCTCCGGCGCCCTGCTCGACGTTGCCATTCTCGCCGGTACCATGACCGCCGGTGTCATGCTCACCTTCGCCATACTCTCCATTGCCATGCGCGTTGTTCCCCTGATCTGAGTTGCCGTGCTCGTCGCTGCCATGAACAGTGTGGCCATCGTGAATGATGTGCTGCTCGGCGTTGCTCTGTCCAGGCTGAAAGTTATGCCAATTTCCCAGCCAGCCTCCGGCGACCATGCCCAGCATCGACATGGCCGGGGACATAACGTCCAGCAACACGACGTCCGACGAGGCGACGGTCAGCATGCACACCAACATGGCCCCGACCGTCAAGGCCTAGTGTGCGTCCGATGCCGCCGATTCGGACATGCAGGCTTGACGTGTGTCCACCTCCAATGTGCGCCTCTCCGCTAGCATGATTTTCACAGTGGTTTCTGTGAGCATCGTCAGAATCTTCTCCCTCGCCAACGTCTGTTGATGCAGATATCGTTGAAAAATTAGAGATTGACAGTACTCCAGACATTCAGATCGATAACTAGGCAGAAACAAATCCATGTGAGGAAACTAACCTTCGTAGGTGTCAGCCCATAGCAGATCATTGTTGAGATCAATGACAGGACCAGTGTAATTGCCATTGTCATTCCATCTAGGTGGCAGATTCAGGTCAATTTCCACCATTTTTACGAAAGCATACAGCAGAGGGAGAAGAAGCACGGGGAAGAAGCAGGGGGAAGAAAGAGAAGTTAGTGGGGAGCACTGTAAGTCACGATCGATGGTTGAGGGGCTTTCCAAATTTGAAGTTTTGATGGCTGGCGCGGGAAAGAATTGGCGGGGCCAGTTGGAGGCAATCTGAGTTTGGGATTGGATCGGTCAATCAAGACTAGGTCAAAGGAGATCATGTGTGTGCCTGCCTCTCTTTTTTTCCAGTCGGGATGCCTCCCTTGTACGACGGCCCCTGTAACAAACGATGCGCTAATTTTCGTGCAAATTCCTAATACGCCTAACATATTGGGGAGGGAGTACAATCTAGAAACTAAAAGTAGAACAATTTTTGTGCAGGCAACCTGGTTGGCGGGATCCTATCAGAAAGCTGATAGCAAATTAAACATTCCCTTGAAGAGTGGAAACAGTCTTACTTTGTTCCTCACTAAGGTTAGCATCGCTTCATCATCCATTTGCATACTAACATGAATTTGGTTTCAAAAGAACATAACTCGTCTCTGATGATGCATTGTTTTTCTGTTAAAATTGGATAAGCTCACTTCCTAGTTTGTGCAAAATTGACCACTAAATTGTAGGCATTTATTTAAATGCATTTGCATATCTACACAGGAAGCAGACGTTGAATTTGCATCCAGCTTGATCTCCCTTCTTAAAACCATCAAAAGGGGTATTCAGGTTCACAAAGATTTCTCAGGAGGCATCGTGAGCCATGCAGAGTTATTAGTATGCCACTTCACGGGCATTAAGGTAATTATAAACATAAATCTTTAGCTGCAATTTGAATATTCTTATTAACTGTGCACAGCAAAATATTCAAGAGACCCTGTCACTCTTCCTTGCCCAGATAACCTTGATATAAGCACATGACTCCCCTATGTTAGTGATATAAAGTTACTAATTTGACCGGTTTATTTAGGCTCTGGAAGATGAATATGGTTCCGCAGAAATTGTTAAGCAGGGAGCTGAAGTAGTTCAGACAGCTCTCACAAAAGCATTTGATCAGTTGCAGGGAGCATATAATGGTAAATTACTTTGTGCGGTTGATTGTTGACTTGAAACATGACCTTTGCAATCAGTACACTTGTTATATTTGCAGAGCACTATTGACAGTTGATTTTTTTTTTCTGTTTCGATATTTATGATGTGTTAATATAGGAAAAATTGTTGGACTGGTAATATCCGCTAAGGAGGCTTCAACATCCTTGGCATCCATCATCGATGCACCGTCTTCATTGCATATCTCAAGACGGCTTGCAGAAGCATCTAAAACTAATGCTACAGCTTCTATAGCTGCTATATATCTTGTTAGATTGAGTCTTGCATGGATTACAGGGATCATCCTTCTCGTCTCAACTCTCATTGGGGTGAGCATGCTTTCTTGTAGTCTTGTCTATTACTGATCAACTTTGGCGAAATGCAATCTATGACAACACTATGTGCTGATTGTGCAGATTTGCTTGCTCATGAACATGCCGCTTACGAGGGACACACTCCTATATTCAAATGTCAAGATTGATTAGTTTGTGCTACATATGAATTTTCACACGATGACATGAAGGTTTTCAACAGTCATGCTTGGTTTTTCCTTTGGACCCTGGGGTTTACAGTAGGAACGTGAGTGTGGGCTTGCTGTTCATCCAGTTTAGCATAAAAATACTGTTGCTTTGTCCATTTAGAATCGTACTGCCACTGCCTGTTTGGGCTTCTCATGTTTTTCCGTAAATAAATAACAATAATCGAGTGGGGTGTATTTTGTTAATATCGGTCATGATTGTATTGTTGCAAAAAGCATTATCTGAATAAATTCGCCACTCGAATATTCATTGGGATAGATTTTGTCTTCATATATGACGTTAAATGATTTATTGAGTTGAAATTTCATATAAATTGATTAATCAGATGTACTGCGAGAATAGGGAGCATACTGCATCTTTTGGTCAAAATCCGCATCATAATATTTGTTCTGATCGATGAATCATGGGCGATATTCTAGCCTGGCTGTGGCGCTATTGGTCTAATGAAGTTGCCGACTCTAGCTAAGCATGCTATATCTTTGAATTCTAGCATTTGGCTGTATAATACTCCCTCCGTCCCACAATAGTGTCAAGAACGTTCTTATATTGTGGGATAGTGTCAAAAACGTTTTTATATTGTGGGACGGAGGGAGTAGTTTTCTAGGGAAATGTGCGCCCCCTTTTTTTATCCTATATCCGGAACACTTCTAAAATTAATGAAGACTGCATATATGGCTGTGCGTTGCAACGAGAGATTGCAAGGCACGCGAATCATAGGATCCTATTCTGATAGCATGTCAAAGCATATCAGGTAGCATTGTGGGCCCTTTTTTTATACCGTTAAATCGCTCCTTTTCTTCTTCCTCCTCCATCCATCATCTCTACCTCTATTTAAGCTCGCCGATATATGTGCTTCACGACAGAGCAAATGCAGGTTGCTATGAATCAGGGGTGGCCAGGACAATAACAGTGGACCGATTGATAGTGTAGGGTAATTCAAGACGTTTAGGGTAATTCAAGACGGTAGTTTGGAACATGAAACATGATCCGAAGTCAATTGTTCTGGGTGAATAACACAAACTTTAGATTATTAATGCATACTAAAATTTAATAGCAGAACATGAAGAAATAACATTATTCAGTGTTCAGGTCTCCATATCCGTCCTTCGCGATCAATGTTCCGCAGCAACAACTGGAGTGATGGTGTTTCTCCATTGAAGACTATTGCATTGCGGTGTTTTCACAATTCCCATAAGCCTAGAGTAATGATCGTTTTTAAGTCCCTAGTGGAAATATGCATCACCACACATGTGGAGCACCATTCCACCAATGTATCCTCGGGCTCTGGTGCCTGTGACAGGTCTCCAATTGCACTCCACATCCATAGCCACAATGTTCTTACAAAGACGCAGGTAAGTAGTAAATGATCTATCGTTTTGAACTGTTGGTTGCAGAAGGGGCACATTGTTTGATGAGGTAGTCCGCGTCTAGCTTGACAATCCGAAGTCTAGCAGCGATTCCGCATGGCCAACCATGCGAAGAAGCAGCATTGTAGAGGTGCCTTTTGTGTCCACACAAAATCCGCATACGGTGGCACTTCCCGTCCCATAAACCGTGCCACGTACGCTGATCGGATGGAATAGGACCCATTGGCCTCCCAGGCCCAGCATATGGCATCATCCCCCTCAGCATGCAGTTCCACCTCTGCCACCTCTATCCCAAAGTTGCATGTATTCGTCGATGTTGTCAAGCCCAAGGTTAGGGCCAACATTCGTGGCCCAAGTATTATCCAGAAGAGCTTGCCGTAAAGTGCATGAATTCTTTACCCGAGGAGCCACAACATCATATATGCGTGGCGCGATATCCTGAACTCTGTTGCCATGGAGCCATCAATCCTCCCAAAATAAAATCATATCCCCATTACCAACGATTGCATGCGTTGCCGCCTGGAAGACCTCTTTTCGCTTGAGAAGTAACGTTGGTCTCAAATTCCACCCACGTTCGTTGCCTATCTGTACGTCTCACAGCCATAACCATCTTTACCTGTAGTTCGGTGTTCAACCATCTCAAGTTGGGGATGCCAAGGCCCCTAGCCCAGTGAGGGGTACATACCTGCTCCCAGACCACTGAGCAGTTCCCGCCATGCGCCTCTCGTTTGGCGCACCATAAGAAGCCACGACAAATCTTCTCCAATGCTCGAATTGTCTTCAGAGGTAGTTCCAAAGCCATGAGGGCGTATATCGGGATAGTGCAGACAACTGACTGAACTAGGAGCAGCCTATCGCTCTTAGGTAACGAGACCCCTCTCTAGGTGGGCAGTTTGTTCGCCAGTTGATCGACAAGATAGTGAAACTGGTGGGCCATCAGTTTCCTGATGCTCAGCGGCAGGCCAAGATACTTGCACGGAAAGGAGCCAATCATGCAACCAATCATCTCATGAATCATCACTTTCCGATCTTCCGAGCATTGGATTGGCATAGCGGCGCTTTTTTGGAAGTTCATGCGCAAACCTTAGGCCATCCCGATGCCCTAAAGGATCTTCACACAACACTAAAGCTCCACCTCTCTCGGCTTTAAGAAGATCATCACGTCATCTGCATAGATCAATAGGCACTTGTGCATGCCTCGCAGTGCGAGCGGTTCCAGCAAACCCAAAGTCGCCGCTCTCACAAACATCCAGTGCAACACTTCCATGGTGAGGAGAAAAAACATTGGTAAAATAGGGTCACCCTGCCACAACCCTTTCCTTGGCAAAATCGACGTTCCGGGTAATGCCGTTGATCAGGACCCGGGTAGAGGAGGCATGTAACACCCCCATGTATTAAGCTACAGTAATCCCCCATGATTATGCTAAGTCACTTTGCTTAACAGTGCTTGATCACTTCTGTTCAAATCTCATTTCAAATTCTACCTCTGAATTCAATTCAAATATAAAGTGAGAACTTAAATTCACAAACATGTTGGGAAAATAGTTCACCATTTAGCAAATATTCCAAAACAAATAATGGTTGAGGAAAACAACATCACTTGTTACTTACATGGGCTCTAGCAATTAAACAGTGCCAAAACAACATTTTAAATGTTTTTCTAAATTATGAAAAATCCACACTATTTCAAATGCCTCCCAAACTTTTTGTGGCAACACCTAATATTGCAATAGTAATTATGGGCCAAGTTCCATATTTTATAAAAATCATTTGCTATTAGAACTAAAATATAAAACATAAATAAATAAAGAAAATAGAAAGAAAGGGGCACAGGCCACTGTGCACTGGGCCTAGTGCACAGTGCATAGTGCCTGGCCTAGCCCACCCCCTCAGTTGCGTCCTAACTCTTGCTACAGGAGGGCGACCGAGGGGAGGGCGCGCGCGCCTGTCTGTCCCCGTCGGACCACCTCGTCGTCCCCGCCGTGGAGGGGATAAGGCCTCCACCCACGGCCCCCCTCGGACGCCTCCCCTTCCACTTTCCCCACTCCCCTTGCTCTCCCCTCGCCTTCTTCGCCCGCGCCCGAGCGGGCTCGTCGATGCCCCGCTGCCACCGTCGCGGCCACCAGCGTCTAGCCATCACCGCGACCTGTCCTGGAGCTCCGCACGCCTCCTCCATGTCGGCTATGGCAAGCCACTCGAGCCGGGCGCGTGTACATCGACCGGATCGAGTCGATCCTTTTCTTTGGTCACCGCCGCTCCGCCGCCTCGATCCACCTCGTTCGACGCTACTAAACCCCCAGCGGCCGCCGTGTGCCTCACCGTGAGCATCCGCCTCTTCCCCTCCCTTTGGCTTCCCGCGTTCTTGCTCTAGCTAGCTACTTCTCCATCGCGCCATCGCCGCGTCTCGGTCGCCGCCATGGCCGATGCTTACAACGGTCCCCATGTCCCTCCTTGTTGCCTGATTGTGTCGCCGTGCTCCTAGAATGCCAGGTAGGCACGTGCGCGCATCAAGTCGTCTCAGGCGAGCTCCTATGCTTGAGCTCGAGCACGACCAGGTCTGTCCGCCGCGGCTCGCTATTGCAGCTCCAGCTCCGGGGTTCCTCATGATGCTCCAGTGCCACCGCTAGCCTCGCCGCAGTTCCAGCAACCCCTTAGGCATCTCCGCGTCACTGGCCGTCGCCTGTGCTCGGAATCCGCCGGCCACTCGAGCTGCCCAGGTGCGCTGTGCGTGCTCTGGAGCACTATGGCACTGTTCAAGTGTCGCCATCATTGTCGCATGGGGCCCAGCCGTCAGAAATTATGTTAGTGGCTAATCACACTTAATTAAGTTAGCCCCAACACTAATAGTCTTTGACGAGTGAGTACGGGTTTAAAATAATCCGTCGGTTAATAACGAGTCATTGACACACGGGCCCTGCCAGACTCGTTGACTAGTCAAAGGTTAACCAGTCAATTGCTGCATCAGCAATTGACTGGCCCCACCTGTCAGCCACTAGTGCACCTCTGGGTGCACTACACCGTGTGCACCCAGCCCTTTTCTGCCTAGTGTATTTCAAATTAAATAAGTCCAGTGATTTTCAGAAAATCTTTTAAAACTTTGAAAATTAATAGAAAATAATCTATAACTCGGATGAAAATAATTTATTTATGAAAGTTTCTCAGAAAAATATGAGGAATCAGAATATGCTATCCACATACCTGTCACATGCCGCCAATACAACAAACATGGAACCTCCCCCTCCGATTCATTTGTCGGATACCTGCCTAAAGTTAGGGAAACATCCACAGATATTTTCCCGCTCCGTCTGTAACGTGTAGCACTGCACTAGGTCACCCCTATCACAACTTATTGCCATGTCATGCATCATGACACATTTTATTTCTTTATATTTGTTGTTTCTTCCCCCTTTTCTCTCCGGTAGACCCCGAGACCGATGCTGCTCCCGAGTTCGACTGCACTCCTGACGACCAACCCTTTTCAGCAGAGCGTCCAGGCAAGAAAACCCCCCCTTGATCATTCTATATTGCCATTCTTTATCTCTCATGCTTGCGTTAGATTTTGCATAGCCTGCTTTTGCA